CTTTTGGGTGCTGGGTCTTAGTGGGAATGATTTAATTTTTATCTCATTTCTTTTGAAATGAGTCATACCCTTATTGGCAGAGAATAGAATATTTAAATGTTTTTAGAGTGTTCTTCTAAGCCAGCCATAGAAAATGAAAGAATGATTCCTCAGAAGCACCCTGAGCATTTTTAACCTGGGATATGACTGATATGCATCTTTTTTTTTTTTTTCTTTTCTTTTCTTTTAGTTGTAGAAGGACATAATACCTCACACGTGCTAGGCAATTGCTCTAGCGCTCTACCACTGAGTTCCAACCCCAGCCTCTGATATGGATCTTCATATGGAGGGCTCCTTCTTGTCATTGTGATTTCAAAGGTCACCTTTTTAGAGAAGATGCCCCCCCATGTAATCAGTCTTTCCCTTTCTTTATAATATGTATCAATATCTGCTAATAATCTTGTATATTTTTTTCCTCCCCCAGTAAAATGTTAAGTTCCATGAGGGCAAGGATCTTGCCTGTGTTGTTCACCACTGTCATACCTATTTCTCTTATTTCCTGAAACATGGAAGACAGTCAGGAAGTATTTGTTTAATGAATGAATAGAATAAATACTTGGGTTCTTCTCAAATTGTAAGATTATTTTCTCTAAATGTCACAGTAATCTTAAAAAATTTGTGATTCCACAGAACTAAAGGTACATTTTCTGAAATAAGTGTGGGAAAGGAGATCAGCATGGTTGGGGTGAAGGGAGCCAAGGGAGAGACTAGTAGAAAATAATAGGGAAAGGGAGAGCAAGGCCTGTGGCTTAGGTGGACTTCGACTTTCACTTTTAATAATATAGGAGACCTTTAGAAGGTTTTGAGTGAGAAATAACACGATCCCACTTATCATAGAAAGTTACTGTGACTTCTGTTCAAGATTGTAAGAAGCTGTATAGGGATATTAAAGTATGGTTCATTCTGGGCTCACACATTTGTTCAACTGGCTAATTTGTCAGCCTTGGTGCCCAAACCACCTGTCTTAATTTCCATAGCTCTGTTATAACCCTCAATATATTCTACAGAATATATAAGGGCCTCATCCTTCCAGATCCTACTGTCAAAATCAAGCCACCTTCCTTTTCTTTTTCTTCTTCTTACTCTTTTCTCCTTATAGGAAAAAGGTGTTGTGTATACTCTGCTTTTCTGTATATGTTTTTTAATCAGCTTGTTTTACGTCTAAGAAAAACCTATTGGGGTTTTGATTAGAATTTCATTGACTGTATGGATCACTGTGGAAAGAATTAAGAACTTTAGTATTGAATCATCCTAGCCTTAAAATTTAGAGAATTTATTTAGATTTTCTTCAATGCCTTTGAATAAAACTATATATATATGTGAATATATGTCTTGAATATCTTTACCTTATTAAATCTTAAATGTCTTTTTCGTTATTATTGTGATTTTAAAAACTACATTTTATCCTTTTACTGATGTTTCCAAATTGATATTTATTAAGCTTATGTTTCAGCTACCTTGCTAAAAATTTATAATTTTTATAATTTATTTATAAATTCCTTTGAACTTTCCATGTAGACAATAATATCAGCAAATTCTGCTCTGTATCCCTTTTTACAATTCTCTGTATTTTACTTATTTATTTTTTTCTTACTTTACTGGGATGGCTAGACCCACCAAAATATTTAATAATAAATATATATTAATAGAAGTCCTTGTCATGTTTTTAATAGTTAAAGAGACTAATATTTTACATTTAAGAGTATTTATTGCAGGTTTTGGTCAGATGTCTTTTTCAGGATATGAACATTTTAAAATCATTTAATCATGGACATATTGTTTTTTTTTAAATATATATATATATATATATATATATATATTAACTGTCAATAGATCTTTCTTTCTTTTTTTAATATATGATGCTGAGATTCGAACCCAGTGCTTCACACATGCTAGGCAAGCGCTCTACCATTGAGCTACAACCCTAGCCCCATATTTTTCTTTTTTATATTTTCTTAGTTGTAGATGGACACAACCTATTCATTCATTCATTCATTCATTTTTACATGGTGCTGAAGATCAAACCCAGTGTCCACACACGCTAGGCAAGCATTCTACCACTGAGCCACAATCCCAGCCCCATATTGTTCTTTTGAAAGCTTGTCCCAGTTCACATGCCTCCCATACCTGTATGAAAGGATACTTCTTGTCAATGCTTATCCACACCACATGAGGTATTCTTAATTCTAAAAAGTTTCAAATTTCATAGGTAGCAAAGACGATTTATTTACTTAGATTTATTCCAGCCCTCCATTTATTTATTTATTTATTTATAGCCGTCAATGGATCTTTATTTTATATATTTATTTATATGTGGTTCTGAGAATCAAACCAGTGCCTTGCACATGCTAGGCAAGCACTCTACCACTGAGCCACAACCCCAGCCCTATTTCTGCCTTTTAAAACAATGTTTTGTGTTGGTAACACTGTTATTTTTTATAAAAATAGGATAGGGGGCTGGGGATATAGCTTAGCTGGTAGAGTGCTTGCCTCGCATGCACAAGGCCCTGGGTTTAATCCCCAGCACCACACACACACGCACACACACACACACACACACACACAAATAAGTTTTAGAATTGAATTTATTTATGAAAATATTTCATATTTAGAGAAAAATTGCAAGAATAGCACAAAGAATTTCATTTCTTATAGCTTCAGCACACATTCTCCAAATGTTAACATTTTATTGTATTTGCTCTATTTTTATTATTTTATTATACTGATTATTTTTTCTCTTTCTCTTTTATCCCATCCACACTTACGTATTTTTTTTTTTAATGAATGGTTTAAGTTGCAAATATGATGCTCCATTTTTCTTCTAAAAGCTTTGGTGCTATTTCTTAAGAACAAGACCATTATTTTCTATAGCCACAGAAAATTATCTTTGATACAATATTGTAATCTAATGTATAGACATTTAGATTTTGTCAGTTGGCTTTTATAACAAAAATAATTGTTTTTTTCTTGTCTAGAATCTAATCCAGGATTGTGCATTGTATTTATCGTGTATTTTAATCTTTGATATAGAACAGATAGAAAATGTTTTTAAACAATACTGGATAGTTATTTAATAGAATGTTTCTTGGCTTAGGCTTGTCTGTTGTATTTTGTGATTTTACATTTCTCATAGAAATACCACAGAACTGGTGGTGTGATGCATCCTATCAGGAGGCATATAATGTTTGTTTGTTCCTTTATTGTTGATAATAACTTTGATTGCTTAAGGTTGGGTCTGGCAGGATTCTTCACTATGAAATTACTATTTTTTCCCTTTGTAATTAATAGGCATCTTGTAGGGAGATGCTTTGAGACTAGATAATACCCTGTTTTCTGGTAAACTTTCAACTACGAGTTTTAGTGCATATTGGTGCTAGTTGCCTGAAATAATTATTACAAGAGTGATTGCCAAATGGTGATTTTCTAATTCTATCACTACTTTTTATTATTTGGGATTATACTCCACAAAAGAACTTTCCTTCCTTCCCCATTTATTTATGTCACTAAGGATTTATGCATTTTTATTTTATTCTCTGGATTATAATCTGTAAATATCTTTATTTTGCTGCTCAAATCTTACTCATTTGGGCTGAGGTTGTGGCTCAGAGGTAGAGCACTCACTTAGCATGTGTGAGGCCCTGGGTTTAATCCTCAGCACCACATAAAAATAAGTAAAAAAATAATAAAGGTATTGTGTCTAACTACAACTAAAAAATAAATACTTTTTAAAAAATATTACCCATTTGTCCAGTGGGAGTCATTTTAATCAGATTCCTGTGTCCATTTGATATGCCATCATCATTCTTTGAGCATTTCCTTACTTTCTGGCACCACAAAAATATATCTTAGGATCATATTGTACTTTTCTTGCTCTTACCTTGGAATCAGCCATTTATTTCTCCAAAGAACTGTGGGACCTTTTATTGGAGCACTGGCTGTGCTTGTGGTTATTGGGGGTGTCTTTGCTTCTAGAACCTCTCAGGGGACAGCTAAGGAATATATATGTATATGAGTATATAAGCATTTACAGTTATAGCTCTAGATACTTTTCTTTCTTTCTTTTTTTTTTTTTGTTAGTGAAAAAAAAGTTATTGACTGTATTAGGGTTTTCCAGAGAAATAGAATACATAGAATATATTCTTTCTTATATGGGTCCATAACTTGAATATGAGTGTATGAATATGTACATATACATTCATATATATGTATATATAAGAATACATCTCTTTCCAGAATGTGTGTGGGGGATTAATTTATTATCATTATTTGGCTTATACCCGGTTATATGGGGCTTGACAAGTCCAAGTCCAAAACTGGGCCAGCAGGTTGATGGCCCATGAGAGTGGATGTTTCAGTTTGAGTCTAAAGGTCTGAAGCCTCCAGGAAGAGCCTGTGTTGCAGATGATGACTGAAGGCAGTCTGCTGGAGCATTCTCCTACAGCTCTAGATATTAAAAATTGAGCTTAAGAAAGCAGGGGAAAAAAATCCAAAGTGAGCTTAATATCATTAACTTCAACTCCAAGCCTTTCCCTTTTCATATTCATAGCTCCCTTACATGAGAGTAAGAAACAAAGATCTCATTATCTACAATGTATTTACTCATTTACTCAATCCTAGGATACTGATAAAGAAGTTTCATCTCACTGTGTAATAAAAACAGATATTTAAGTGGTGGAATACAAAATTGTGCGGTTTTCTTTGTGTTTCAGTTTGAGGACAGTAGGTACTATTTTCAAAATTTACCTGGGGTTAATTCTTTCTCCCTTGTCTCTGGTCCCCTTTAGTGTGGTTATGTTACTCATTCACATATCTTGAGGTTCATTCCATTTTGGGTTCTTCCCTCTTCTTTGTTTAGCATTATGAAACATTAACACATTTTTTTAAAAAAAAACACTGTACATAAAGGTGACAGAGTACTGCAACATAAAACTGATGATTTTCCTTTGTGTTTGTTCTTTCAGGAACTCATTTAATGCTTCATTATTAGAACAAATATGTGAAAATTCCTGTCAACTGTTGAGAATTTTTTCCTTTGGATATTGTTTCCTCCACTTTCTGCATAAATTTCTTAGAAATTTTTTTTTTGGTGCCATGTTCTGTGGCTTACATCAAAAGAGGAGTTTGTCTTCATGAAGATTCCTAACATTGGTAATGTGATGAATAAATTTGAGATCCTTGGGGTTGTAGGTGAAGGTAAGTTGAAATTTTTGTATTCCTTGATTTTTATTTTTTGTATTCCTTGAGTTTTTGATTAATGTACAATTATGCCTACCATCAAAAATTTTACATATTCAGATCCTGTTAATTTAACCTCTCTCAATTCAGATATAAATCTAAGAGTAAAATATTAAAAATACAATTAACACTTAAACAATTTGAGTCTTACTCTTCAATTGAAAGTTAATAACAATGGGCATGGTGGCCCATGCCTGTAATTCCAGCATCTCAGCATGTAGAGGCAGGCGGATTGCTGGTTCAAAGCCAGCCTCAGCAACTTACTGAGACCCCAAGCAAGTTAGCGAGATCCTGTCTCAAAATAAAAAATAAAAAGGGCTGGGTATGTGGCTCAGTGGTTGAGTGCCCCTGGGTTTAATCCCTGGGACCAAAGAATGAAAGATGAAAAAGAAAAAAAAAAGAAAGAAAGTCAATACCATTTTAAAGTTTAAATAAATCAAGAATTTAAGATTACTTTCATTTCATTCTTTTCGTTAGCAATTAGTTTCCTTTGTGTGTATATGTATATATTTATAGTTACATTTTATTTTTATATCAACTGTTATTTTGAATAACTTAAAATGTTTTGTAAATGTTGGACTTCAATACATGGTAAATAAACAAATAACTTATATTTCTTTGAGAATGACAAACCACATTTTATAAATTTTCAGGCAGTGTTTGGTCATATTTTAACATCTCTAAAATCAGGATGTGTTCTATAATCAGTAGTATACATGGTTTAATTAGAAATACTTTTTCTTTTCTAGTAGTATATAAAATAATGCTTTTAACCAATGATATTACTGATTTGATGAAGCTTGATAATTCATTTTTCATAAATTGACTCCTAGAAAAATCATCATTTCTTCCCCAATTTTTCCTGCTTGGTAATTCTTGCTCTTGACTTAGAGGTAACTTTATGGAAATTTTGATAAATGATTTTGCTCTAAGGAGATAAGTGGTTATAATTATAGTTTCTTAGCATTTTTATCTTTAAAGCAAATGTTATAGAAATTTCATGTTTTAGATTTTTTCAAAGAAACCAAATTTCAAAAGAAGTTTTAAAAATTTATGTGAAAAGCAAAGCTGTTCAAGATTTTAATATCAAGTTGGTAAATCTTTTTCAAATAAACAAACAAATTAGCATCTAGTCATTAGATACTTGTTTCAAGGTCTGAGGTTGAAAACATTAAAAAAAATGGGTTCTTCTTCCTTCACTAACTTCTTTTTCATTTTTTTGTTGGTATTAATAATTTTTTAAAAAGTGTTTTTAGTTGTCAATGGACCTTTATTTATTTTATGTGGTGCTGAGAATTGAACCCAGTGCCTCACTCATGCTAGGCAAGCGCTTTAATACTGAGCCACAATCCCAGCCCCATGTTGGTATTAATCATATAAATAAAATTCATTTTCAATCTCATCTGTTTTATGACAGCTATCTTTTAAAATTTTATTTTTCAAAGTATTACAATTATAGATTTAGGCAATGGGGCTCTGACTGGAGAAGGTCAGCACATAGGATATAACAAGATTGGATGTTCTACATTCTGGGCCTAAGTTTTTCTGGATCATAACCTTGTTTTTCTCAATACACCCATAGGTAATAATCTTCCCAGGTATTGGTTCAGATTAACCAAAATTGTGAGACTGTTGTTTCAGTTAGAATATTAACTTGTTATAATCAGAACCTTAGTTGCTATACATATTTTTTCTTTGTAAATGACTTCAGTTTTTTTTTCCCTAAGAAATATCTATATTTGAAGTTTATAAAACTCTGTCAAAAAAACTCTACATCTTTGTAGCCTAGAGAGCATATTTCCACCTCACAAGAATACCTGGCATGGGCTGATGGTGAAGATTGGATGATGCCAGGTGATATGGAGTTAATTTGGTTCTCCTGGCTGGTTTCCTAACTCTGATAATAAGTTTCCTCCATCTCCATCAAAATGAGGGAGGTTTTAGGTCCCCTAGCCTCTATTTGAAGTTCCCTTCTCATAGTTGCATATAGGTTTTGCCTGTTTGCTAATGCCAATGTTTTTGATGTTTCTTCGAAGCTCTGTTACACTTGACTTTTTTTTTTTTTTTGTACTGGGAAAACCAGGGGCACTTAACCACATTGTCACATCTCCAGCCCTTTTTAAATTTTTTATTTTTAGACAAGGTCTTGCTAAGTTGCTGAGGGCCTTGCTAAATTGCCAAGGCTGGCCTAAACTTGGAATCTTCTTGCCTCTGTTTTTGGAGTTGCTCATGGGCCACTGTTATAGGTGTGGGCCACTGCACCTGGCTACATTTTGATTCTTTGGATCTTTCACATTTTAACTTTAACGTCAGTTTCCTGAGTACCTTGTTGGCACAATATTTTCTCTGTTCTGCCTTTAAGAAATTAAGTTTATTACCTAGATAATGGGTTTAGTCACTGAAAGGTCAAAAATAAACCTTATCAAGGGCTGGGGCTATAGCTCAGTGGTACAGCGCTTGCCTAGCATGTGTGAGGCACCGGGTTCAATCTTCAGCACCACATAAAAATAAACAAATAAAATAAAGTGTCCATCTACAACTTAAAACAAAAACCAAAAACCTCATCAAAATACTTGAAAGAAAGTGGGAGTGGGAGTGGCCTATGCCCTTAAGCTGACACTTCATGGCAAAAAGGTAGCAACTCCCACTAGTCATTAGTTGGAATGCTGAGATCTATAGTATTTTTTGTGTGTAGCATGTGTGTAGTGTTGTGGATGGAACCTAGGGCTTATGCATGCAAGCACCCCAGCCCTGACCTGTACTATTTTGCTAGTCAGGAGAGATTCCAGTAACATAGAAGAGGGTTTCAGTGACTCCTAGGACAGATAGTATGTTTGGGTAGGCTCTGTGCTTGAACTTACTCTTGGAAGTTATTAGCTTCTAGGTTTTAAGTTCCCTATAACCTTCGAAGTTAATTTTCATTTACTCACAAGAGTTCTTATGATCCAATCTTATCTCTGAAAATGTTTAAGCTTAAATTTTAAAATATCTTAAATAAAGTTTTCTATAAGAAGAGAAACATTTGAGAGATTTATTTAAAATAGAGCATGGATACCTTAGTATATTTTATTTTAAATAAACCTCTCAAATGTTTCTCTTCTTATAGAAAACTTTATTTAAGATATTTTAAAATTTAAGCTTAAACATTATTTAAGCTCATTATTATATTTTTACTCTATAATATTGTGATTTTAGTTATTGTTATATCCTGATCAGCAATATAAATATAGTAGACTTTAATTTCTTAAAGAGCTTTAGTTTGTATACATGCCCCTGATTGTTTACTTCTGTTTTTATTATAGGAGCCTATGGAGTTGTACTTAAATGCAGACACAAGGCAAGTACATAGTTTTATAAGTAAAATATTTGTACATGCTTAAAGTGTTTGAAAGTAACTCAGTACTCTGTATACATGGGCATATAATTAAAACTGTCTGCATATGATGATGACGCTTAATGAAGTAGAATTGATATGTGAACCAGAAAAAGAGATGACTTTTGGAAAAGCTTGATCCTCATACATAAGTAATCATTAGCTTTTTGTAATCCCATGCTATTTTTTGAGCCAACTGATATGTAGGTGAAAAACTGCTTAATGGGAAGAAAAAAGAAGCGGGAGAATAGGCAGAAAAAACAAGGTAGTTCCAGATTTAATTCACATTCAAGTACTTAAGAGCAAGGAGGTGTTTTATTTAGTATTTTTCATGCAGACTCAGTAACTTACATTACTTGATGGATTTGAATCCAAATTTTGAAGGGTAGTAGATATATATTTGGTTATGAGCTGGGGCTTGTGATGATAGTATATGATTATAATTACTGGTTACAGCTAGCTGAGGACCCTTGAGCAGCCTTGTAATAATCTTATAGATTTTTTAAAAATATTTGTTTTAGTTGTAAGTATACACAATAAGCTTTATTTTATTTTTATGTGGTGCCGAGGATCAAACCCAGGGCCTCACATGTGCTAGGTGAGCGCTTTACCACTGAGCCACAATCCCAGCCTCTCTTATAGATTATTTGACTGTGATAATAATCACAAATTGTTCAGGAAAGTTATGTGAAGTTTACATAACTGTTACTAAGTGAGTGTTTTATTGAGAAACTAAGATGGCCAGTGTTAAAACTGTAACAATTAGGTTACATGTTTTCTATTATGATGTATCTAGTCTAAGTATTAATTTTTAATCTCATGTTATTTTGGATATAATTTGATTTTAATAATGACATAATTCATGTCTGAGATGAATTTAACAATTTAACTTAAAACATTTAAACTCAAAGTAATTTATAATATATGTGTATAAATAAAAATGTTATATTTCTATATTTGCTTTTTCTTTTGTACAGAATACAAGCTACCTTTTGGGTTTAAGGATTCATGACATTTAATATATTTTAGTGTTTTCGATCAATGCATTGACTTTTCTATTCTTGTAATTGGGTGTTTGGATTATTTTTATATTAACAGTATTTATCTGAAGATCTCTTTGCCAGAAAATGCTCAGAAATTGTCTGAATTTTATTGGTTCCTGATTAAAGATGATTAAGAATTTAAAATTATAAATGTAGTCAAAATAAATGTAGTACCTTGTGTACCTTGTTAAGTATTACTGCAGTTTGAGATTAAGCAAATGGAAAACTCTCTAATGAAATACTATTCTTTTGATAAGTTGCCTTGAGTTACAATAAACTTCTGAAGCTTATAAAAAAAATGTGGAATTCCTGTGGGTATGTTACTTAGGCTGTTAGTTTCCAAGTCAACTTTTGACTCATGAACGTAATACTTCTTTTTACACTATAGCTCTGTATAGCATGGCAAATGAAACTTTCATTCTTAATCTGGGGATTAAACCTAAGGATTTCTGGGGCTGGGGTTGTGGCTCAGTGGTAGAGCGCTTGCCTAGAAGTGTGAAGCCCTGGGTTTGATCCTCAGCACAACATAAAAATAAATAAATAAAAGAAAGATATTATGTCCATCTCCAACTAAAAAATATTAAAAAAAGAAACCTCTAGGGATTTCTGACATATATGCATATCTTATATATACATGAACACACACATATGCATATACATATGTATCGGTATATATAATGCATATAGCCTATTTTTTTTCTCCTAGTCTTTGTTATACTTTGTCCTATATATAGATACTTCCTTTTGCCTTTATCTAAGCTCTTCTTCTATCTTTCATATAAAAATAAAATTTATTAGTTAAGTATATTGTTTTCATTTATTTGTTAACATACGGTTATCACATGTACTTGCTTCTCATGATGCACACTGTTAATGCTGGCAAGATGGCTCCAAAGGAATGTGGATGAGAATGGATATCTCTGCTCTTGGGAAATCAACTCTGGGTTTTGTTTATTTTTTGGGGTGGGTGGGTGGGTGGTGGTGGTGGTGATTGAATCCAAGGCCTCACACATGCTAGGCAAGTGCTGTATCAGCTGGGTTGTTATATCCTCAGCCTTTGGGAAACCAACTCTGAATGTGAACTCTGATTACTAGGGCTATAGGAGGTACAAAAATGAACAAACCATAGGTTCCCCCCCCCCCCTTTATATGGATATGGCTTATAGCCTGTCTGAAGAAACAGAAGAGTAGAGTTGTTTAAAAAACAACCTCCCGGGGAGGCTGGGGTTGTGGCTCAGTGTTAGAACATGTACCTTACACATGTGAAGCACTGGGCTTGATTCTCCATACCACATAAAAAAAAATGAGTAAAGGTATTGTGTCCATCTACAACTAAAAAAATATTAAACAAACACCTGTAAAGTTGCTGTAAATGAAATTGCATCTACAAATTTCCTTTTTGCTGCCCTTCACTAAATGAGGGACTCACAGACCAGCTTTCTAAGTATTATTGCTTTTTCCTTTTATGCGTCTAAAAACGATATCACTGAATGGAAAATTTAAAGCATAATTTAGTTCCTAACTCAGAATAATATAAAATTCTTTTTAGAATCTGCAGCTGTTTAGTCATTAGACTTGTTATAGTATATCCTTTTCCCAGCTAAAATCAGACCTTCAAATCCATACCCCCATTATCCAAAAATAGAGAATTTGATGGTTCTGGTAAGGTTTACACTGTAGGATTATATGAATGGATTGTTATAAAATTCATATTATAGTTAAAAATATGTTATTTTCCCTATTGTACCTGTTATATATACAATAATCATGCCAATATATTTTTGCATACCTTTAACATTTTAGTGGAATGCTTGTAAAAATGTAGAAATCGGGTCTGTGTGGTTACTCATGCATGGCTCTCTTTGATTACTTTAAGCATAGATTGGGTATCTTTTTTTAGAAGGTTAGCTGTGGGTGTATATAATAAGTCAGCATATTGCGTATTTGAAGAGGTATGAAAAGAATCACTGTTTTAATCTGTGTACTGCTGTAAGAGTTTAGAGGTCAAATTTATAAAGTGTATGTCTTGTCTTTTGTGAACACAATATGATGTTGGGCTGTTCTAGGCCAAAGACCATACTTCTTAATTTACTGAAATAAATGCTGTCCAATTAAAAAAGAAAAAAAATACAGTCTGTACTCTTTTTGATAGCTTTATTTATTGTTATGTACACACATTAGCATATATCTGAAAACAGCAATGACTCAACATCTATTTGTGACTCCTTTTGACCACTCACATTGGGAAGGTATTCTGGTTTGGATCTTTACTCTGCAGAGACACATTGTTGATTTTCTTTTTATTGGCATGAGTTTTTTGAAGTGCTTATAAGAGGGGAGGCATGTTTTGTAGGATGCCTTTTGAGTAGATGCCCCGAAAGGTCATGCCCACAATAAGGAAGTTAGAATTGAGTGAGGTGGAAATTTGAAGATTCAGGGGTGGGGATGCAACTCAGTGGTAGATCACTTGCTTAGCATGTGTAAGGCCCTGGGTTTCATCCCAAAACTGCTACAAGAAAATTTTGAAAAAATTGAAAAAGGGAGTGGGGAGAGAAAAGAATAGGGGAGGGTCAATTAGATGGTGAGCAAAGAGAATTTGTATATAGAGAGGTTGGAGGGCAATGTTCATTCAGCCTAGGATAGGGAAGTGTTTCATGTGACTCCTTTCCTATGGCCATAGGATTTCGTTTGCTGGTTTTAAGTGTAGATGGCATATGCTCTTGAGATAGCTAATTATATGAAACTGTGAATAATCCAGTATTAGGGTATATCTTGTAAGTGTGCAATAAGTAAATAGCAATATATAGCACTGACTTAAATTAGAGAACCAAAAATAAAGGATACAGTAGAGAACTGTTGCAGAGTAACAGGGACTTGGTCACTTCAGAGGTATCCAAGGTGATTCCAGTGATTTGAATGTACTAATCTGGAAAGGCAGTGGTATTATTTGTCTGCCTAGAAAACTTATAAAGTCTAAGTTTGGGGGAAGATGTAATGAGTTTAGCTTTAATAATAAACAATAAAAATGGCAACAGAATAAAAAACCTAATACTAATAAATACCACATTAAATACTACCATATGCTAGACACTCTACTAGATGTTTCAATCCCACAACAATCCTACCCTTATGCCTGTTTCACAGATGAAGTAACCAAGTAACAGAGGGGCTATATAACAAGATCAAGATCAAGTGGCTAGGGGCTATGTCTGTGGCTCAGTGGTAGAGCGCTTGTTTAGCATGTGTGAAGCACCGGTTTCGAGTCTCAGCACCACATATAAATAAATAAAAAGTAAAGGTCCATGGACAACTAAACAATATTAAAAAAAAAATTCCCTTAAAAAAAAAAAAAAGATCAAGTGAACGATGCTTTGGTCTGCCTCCAGAAATAGCAGCCTTGAGTGTAACATGAAGCTGTGAAATGACACAAACCTTCCAAGAGATAGTGCAGAGCAGAAATTAGGGGCTATTTAAATTGGTGAGACTAGGGGCTGGGGATGTGGCTCAAGTGGTAGCATGCTTGCCTAGCATGTGTGAGGCACTGGGTTCGATTCTCAGCCCCACATTGAAACAAAATAAAGATATTGTGTTCACCTTAAAAAAAACTAAAAAATAAATATTAAAAAAATAAATTGGCGAGACTAAAAAGAGAGGCAAGCAGACCCTTTAAAAGCTAGGAGACCTGGGCACAGGGACTTGGGAGGCTGAGGCAAGAGAAATCTCAAGTTCAAGGCCAGCCTCAGCAACGTAGTGAGACCCTGTCTCAAATGTAATAAATAAATAAATAAATAAAAAGGGCTTAAGATATAGCTCAGTGGTAAAGTACCCTGGTTCAATCCCCAGCACTGTTTTCCACAAAAAATTTCATGATGATAAGGATTAAGAGATGAGCAACTCCTTTTCATTTAAAAAGGCCATTTA